TGCACTTGTAGTGTGCTCCAGCATTGGAAGCCCTACAGGCAAAAGGTATCTTGAAATATGTGACAGCTTCCAAGGCTTTTTTTCTTTAAAACACCTCGAAGTATTGAAGTAATGTGAGCCAATGGAGAAAAAAAACACATTTGGCATCTGTTCTATCTGCTTCATGTCAGCACCAAAATATACATATATAGAGGGAACAAATGCAGGACTGATAGAAGGCTCAGGTTAATGAAAAATGGTTTGGGAGAAATGATTTCTGTGATTTGGGAATCAGTAAAGCTTTAAAAAAATTAATTAAAAAAGGATGAGGCTGGTTACAAAACTGGGCTGCCAGGGTTATGAGTCACTGATATGATACAGGATGGAAATTCTTCTCTCTCTGTGCTGTGGACTGAACACTCTTTCTCCCATGACATGATAGAAGAAAATAGTTTGGTAACTCTGTAATAACTCATACTGGGCATGTGTTTTAGTTTTGTTCTGGCTTTTAGTCAATATGCTTTTACCTGGTGTGTGGATGTGTCCAGATTCCAATTGTATAAAAATCTATATGCAACAGATGTTACTCTAGACCTCACCTCTTATCATCAATGTGCATGTTTTCTGTAGCTTTCAGAATCTGGGTGTTGGTTTGAATATTGTATTAGAGCACACTAGAAGTCTTGCAAGTATTCTAAATAGTCTTTTAAGTGTGTGTACCACAAGTCTTTCCAAGATAGTCACTAGGAAATCTAATTTGAGGTCTAGGAAGGTAACAGGGAAATTGAAAAGTGCTCTCATCAGAAGTTTTACATTTTTTACTTATTCTCCTAGCTTAAAAAATGCTTGATTGATTTTTTGCTCAGGAGACATGCTACTTTATTTTCTTTCACTTAAAAATAAAACTATGGCTATCAACAGTCAAAATACAGAAGTAGTGGTAAAAGGAATCATTCATACATGATATGAAAAAGAAACAGGTACTTCTAAAGGAATATACTTTATCTTGCAACTGAGAGTGGTAGATGAAACATAGTCAGCAAACAGAACCAAAGTACTATATACACCCAGTATCTCACCCAGGGCTACAGTTGTCAACCTGACTGGTCAGAGCTTTCTCATATTCCTAATAATTTGAAAGAGATTTTTAAAAGGACGTTTCTTGACAAAGAAGTACAGTTTCTCATCTTTTTCACAGCTAAGAAGAAGAAGAAGTCAGAAGCAGTAGCATGATTTCAGTCTTTTCACCATATGACATATAATAAAGCTGACGAAGCACAAAGATCACAAAATGAAGAGCATCAAATCTGCATAACAACACAACAAAAGAACAAATTTTAATTGCACATCTCTTTCACAGACTTTTCACTAATGGTTTAAATTCCTTGGAATTTGTATCCGCTCAGATCTGAGCTTAGGCGTGTGTCTGAAAAGGAGCGGAAAAGAAGAGTGAAGATTTATACAAGTTATAAATTCACTTGCTCAGCAGTGCAGAATAGCTGGTATGCATTGTAATGCATTCCCCACTTCTGCTTCATACAGTTTATTTAAAATTTCTATTCTGGGTGAAAGAATTTAATAGTCTGTACTTAGTTTAATAGAAAACTAAGGAGATGAACTGCCTGGTCCTCCCTATGCCTTTCAAAGCATGACCTGAACTACAACCTGATGGAAAGCAGTAGGCAAGAACATATTTTTTTTTTTCCAAGAGTCACAGATTTTTTTCCTGAAATTATTTCTCAGATTTCCAGAAAGAAACATAGTGCTGCTAAAATGTAGCCTAACACACTCATTTTTCACTGTCAGGAGTGAAAAGTAGGTTTATCCACTTGAAACCATGGAGATTGTGTAGAATAATCACAGTACAGTGATTCCACTGGAATTTAATAGCTGGAACAAGATCTTCCTGATTGTTTTAAAATGGATTGCAATATGTTTATGGTTGCACCCAGCCTGCTGATAGCACGAGCAGTAACCTCTTGTCTCAGGCTTTGCAAAGGAAGCCTTATGGCTGCTCCCTGGGCATTGAATGTGCAATGTGCACCGAGTGTCCCAGTCTTGTGTTGTTGAGAGAAGATGGAATTAGACCATGGATGAAATACTGTTGGCCATTTTTGCTATGCACTGTGTGCGTGTGCACTTTAAGTGAGTCACATCTGTGTGTGGTTTGGTTTCCCATTCCTGGTAAGTTTTGAAATACACAGAGATACTACTCTTGCAGCCAAACAAGCAGAAGAATAGTTGCATAGTATAAAACAACCTAGGAAACGCCTAGGAAAAAATACTGGTCTGTGTTTTATTGTTACAGTGTTATTATGATATAATATTATATTGTGTGATATGATCACAGAAAACAGGGAATGCATTACTGCATTTTGCATATTGAGGTACATAGATATATTGTTCCTGACAGTGTTCCTAGTGTAGCCCTAAAGGCACAGAAGATGGGCTTAAACTATCCTTTGAGTACCCCATGCCAGCTAAAATGTACAAGCTTTGATCATTATGGTTGGCAACAGTTGCGATATCAGAGTATATGGTTATGTGTACAGGTACTATCTCCAGGTTCATTAGAAGAGGAAGTAGGACACTTCCTCACTTAAATGGTTAATGGTAGTGGGCTCTTCTTTTCCTTTTTCCATTTTTTTGTGTGTTTGGTTGGTTTGGTTTTTGGTTTTTTTCTTCTCCTTTTGTTGGGATCTGTGACCTTCAACAGAGCCATTGCTGAGAATGATGCTTTGTAAGAGGTGTTAGCCATGACTCACTCTCTCTTGACACAGGTGCAGGTGTACACCACCTCCTTCACAGGCTTCTGAAATCAGAACATTTTTGCAAAAGTCTTCTCACTTTTTCTTTGGCACTTTGTCTACTGCACAATTACCCAAGCTCCCACAGTGTCAAGAAAGACACAGCAGTGCTATACTTTAGAAAGGTAGAGAAAGCAGGTATTTATTTTCCTACTGAGGGGGAAAATGTTTTTAAATAACTTTCTGGTGTTTTATTTGCCTCAAAATATGCAAGGAGAAAGGACTTCTAAAATTCCTGTGGCTTTCTGTCATGGTATTGTCCCCTTCACTAATCACAGACAAAGAATTCTCTTTTACCCTTCTGGAAAGCAGATTGTGGCATACCTGCTATACATGACAAGCCAGCCAAGTGAAAGATGATGGCTTGTTTCCATGCCCCTGTGTTTCTTCTGCTACGCAGAGCTGCAGGGTTGGGAGAGACGTCACTAAAGTTGCTTGTCTCCTGTGCATGGAGAACCTAGACAGGCCTCAGAGGAACTGTCTAACTTGTCTTGCAAAGTGTCCAATGAGGAGATCCCAAAATCCCTGGCCAGACTGTCCCACAGATAAGGGAGAAAGCTTTTACTAACATCATACTTAACTGTTCCTGACTCTAGTTAAGGACTTTTCTGTCCTTATCCAGTGGGACTATAGTGAGTTGGCTGTGGCTCCTCCCAGCAGAATGGGAGAAAAAACAGGAGGAGCAGAAGCAAGAAAAGCCATGGCTCCGAACAATGACAGCAAGATCACTCATCAAGTAATTTTCTATGTCAGACAGACTTGGCTTGGGGAATTCAATTTAATTTATAACCAGTTACTGTAAATATTTCATTCCAAATCAGGTATCATGAAACAAAAAAGACAAACATTAAGATATTTAGGGGGAAGACTGTCTCCCCTTTTCCAGGCTCACTTCACTCCAAACATGTGTCCCCCTCACTACCTCACCACAGTGTCACTCTTACGCATTGTCACGGCTGCAGGTGGCAGTCAGTCCTTCCAGAGCAGCTGTGGGCAGTGCAGGGGACGGGGTCAGAATGTCACAGTTTTTGTCTGCTGATTCTTCCTTCTTGCACTTTTCCTGTTCTTCAGTGAGCAAGTCCCTTTGGGCATGCACCTGCTCTTCATGAAGCAGCTACTCATCCTCATGCCTTGGGGTTCCCTCATTCCCATCTCCTGCACTGTGGAGCTGACTAGAGCTGGGTGTGCCCATCATGGGGCAATCCCAAATTCTTCTCACAGCAACCACCTTGCAGCTCCCTGCTCCCAGAGCCTTTCTATGGGCACCCATTGCTGTCTTCCATTTCTTACTTCCTATACATGGAAGATTGGTGGTTTGTTCTTCCACAAGCTGCTTTTTTTTCCCAGATTAGCTAAATGTGCTTCCTTCAGCCTTTCCCCATAGGTCTCCTTTCACTTTCTTTTGGATTCTTTCCTTTTCATCTATGTCTTTTATAATGTCATGCCTGAAACTGGATGTAGAAGTAGGGCAAGGACTTGTCTGACTTTAGAAAATTACATAATTGCATCTCTTGCCTTACCCCAGACAGTTATTGCACAACAGACACGTATTTTGTTTTGCTTGTCTGATCACAATTGTCTCTTCACAGCTTTTTAAATACATGTTAATTTCTCCTTCTGAAGTACGTACTAAGCACATTCTTAGTTATACCATGTTGATTTTGGACAGTCTCTCCAGTTTGCCTAATTTTTCCTGTTGAGTGACTGCCATCCCCTTGGACTTGGCAGCCTTATCCTCTCTTTTTCCCTGTTCACACAGAATCTTGTGGAGCTCCTGCAGCAGCTGGCTCTGCTGTCCCTTCCCCTGTTGCTATGCTCACTTGTACTTGCTCATCTGCTACCATTTCCTAAACATAGTGCAGTCTCATGTTGGTATTTTGGGTCTCCTGCTTTCTCTCATCAAGTTATTGAGCTGCCTGTTATGTCCCGTACTTTTGGTTGGGCTATGACAATTTTTAAAAGCCCCTACTTATATTTTTCTTTGCTTGTCAAATCTGTGCACAGGTAATAGATATGCTTGGCAGATTTAGTAGCCTCTCCCACATTGTTTTGGAAATGATGGCTGTGTTTGGGCAAGGCTCAGACAGACTCCAAACTACCTTTACAAACCGTGGAGCAAGTGAAGAGCGTGGCTATGACATCTGCATTTTACTGAGCTCCATTTATGGTGAATACAAAAAGTCATCTAATAAAGAATTTTAATGTGTGTTTCAGCCACGGGAACAAAGAAGTATTTTCTTGTCGAGGAATCAAATTGGCAGTAGATTGGTTTTTGGAAAGAGGCCACAAGGATGTTACTGTGTTTGTGCCAGCGTGGAGGAAAGAACAGTCGAGACCAGATGCTCTTATAACAGGTAAGCTCTGTCTTTGCTTGTTTGTTCAGTGTTTTGTCCAGCAGGAGTGCTGCTGCTCAAATGAACAAGCCTTTAGCAATGGAAGGTTGTAACAGAAAGTATCACTGGTGTAGTAATTTCCTTGTGATCTATAGGCAGGAAAAAGACAAAGCAACTCCCTCTCCAAGTCCTCCTGTTCTGTTCTGCTCATCTACTCAAGTTTCCATAACGTTGCTACTTACTTCTTGAAGAATGTAATTGCCTTTTTTAAAGGCTGCTGTGTCTGTGCAGCATTAGTAGCAAAGAGGTTTGAAGTTAGTCATTTGCTGAGTATTATTTCTTTTGAGTAGATTCTGCCAGGCTGGCCTGTCACTGCCCATGTTTTGGGTTATGGGAATTATCCGGACAGGAAGGGAATGGTTCCCCTCTTTGTCATTACTATTAGCAAAATGACAGCTTTCAAAGATTTTAATTTTGAATGTGTTTACCTAGAAAAAAAAATGGAATATAGGTATTTTTTCCTTCATCAAATTAACAGGTTCTTTGTGACGGCTGGACAGACATCCTGCAACTGCCATAAAGTTGAAACAGAAAGGAATTAGGGGTTAAATAAACCCTAGAACTTGGAGAGGAGGAGGAAGGGTTTGGTTCGGTTTGTTTTTTTGGGGGGAGGGGTGTCCAACACAGCTACCATTAAGAGAGAGGAAACTTTTAAGACTTATAGCTGTCACTTCTAAAAGAATACAGCCACATGTTTTGATTGCCATGTGCATTTTCAGATACCTGGAAAGATCCTCTCAACACTTCATTCCATTTGCTTGATTGCTACTACTACATAGCATGTTAACACAAGGAGACATTTGGAAAGCTGCTGTTACCCTGTTGGCACTGGAAGTCTGGAGCCTTTCTCTTGAAGCCATTCTCTTTAGTTGTACTAGTGTTCGGGGTATGAGAAGAGCACGGCCTAAGTAATAAAAGTTTGGCCACTCAGAATTAAATTGTGACATCTGCTTGAAGCATGCATAGGGCTAAATGTCCCAAAAGGTGTTTCAGGAAAGCGGCAAGGCTAGAATTGACCTAGCAATGGTCAATTGTCTAGCAATGAGGAATCGTTGCAGGTTATTGTATCTTCTATAAAAATTGCATCTTCTGTTTTCCTCTAAGGATGCAGGAAGCCTTTGTGCTACCTGTAAAAATACCTGGTGCTGACACTCTGTTTCCAGAGATGCACCTGAAATACGTGGCCAGCTGGAGTTTTGAAAAAGCCCTAGATGACTAATGTGGGGATGTTTCTAGACTGTCAGCATTCGTGGAAGCCTCTTGGACTAAACAACAGCCACATCTTTCTTACCAGTACCTGCCAGTCATCACATGGCAAATTTTTTATTCTTTTTTATCAGGGAAAAAAATCACCTTCCATCTCACTCTCACTCATCATTTAGCACATTGTGGGGGGTTGAATACAAAAAGGTTGTATTTAATTTAAAATCTTGTGCTTTTTCTACTAAGCAAATAAATGCTTGTGTCAAATATATTGCTTATTTGTAATATTAAACCTGTATTTCTCCATGTTGGAATATTTATTTTTTTTTCCCAGATGGAACATGTTTCCTGTCAAGTTTCTTATGCTACAAAACAGTTGAGTTATTTGAGATCTTAACCATTACTAATAGTCATGACTCATATTCACTATGCAAGCATCTTCTGCTGGTTTAGATGCTGCCTATTTTTTTTTTTGTGTGTGTATTTTTCTTTTATAGCTTGTCTGCTCCAAGGAGAGTGATAGGTATGAGAATCAACATAGAGGGTAGGTGCCCCAGTACTAGATACAACCTCCTTCGTAGCCAGAGGTCTGTGTTTCAAAGCTCCTTGGGATCTCCAGGTTCTACACAGGAAAAGGGAAAATAAAATACTTTTGGGATATGTGAGTGACAGATTGTGTAGAACAAGAAGGAACTACATAAAATGCTAAATATGCTTATTTAGAAGGATTGAAGAGAAATCTGTTTGGCTTTGATAAGAACTTATGTATAAATGTGTAAATCATTCAAGGAAATATGCAATCTAAACTATTACTGGTGTTACTAATAAAAACAAACCAAAACAAACCACCAACCTTTTTGCTGTTGGTTATAAAATGACATCAGATGTCTTTCTAGGGAATGCTGTTAATATTTGTGGAGAACCTGAGTGCTTGTACAGAACGTGGGTTTTCTAGTCCTTGTGGGTACCCCTCCCCTTGATGTGCAGAGACTTTCATGAGACAGTCCCATTAATGTGAGCTACTGGAATTCTTTCAAAAGATGTTTCTTGCTGCGTTCTACAAAGAGATGAAAAAGGTCTGTCTTTACCAAGGAGTTCAGTTATGGGAAGACCGTGGCTGTACTTGGGTATAATCTTCATATTCAGTGGTGTTTAAAATGACCCTTTCAGTCAGAGGAGTTTTGCACCAGCGTTTTGATAAAATGTTTTTTCTTTTGAGCCACAGGAACATGAACAAGGTCCCCTGTGTTAGTTGTAGAGAAATGGTTTGGAACAGGAGGTTTTTGATTTATTTTTAGGGTTTTTTGGGAGTTGCCAGCTGACTGCTGACTATAAGTTCAGATATCACATCTGGGACACCTTCTGAAGGGCTATAACCATCCAAGACATTTTTAGTCCTAAATGCTTGGATTTTCCTCCTCAAGTCTAATATCTTTAGAGATTAAACAAACTTTTTTCTTTTCTTTCTTGTTTGACTTTTGATTCTTATTCCTTGTAGATCAAGAAATCTTACGTAAATTAGAAAAGGAGAAGATTCTCGTGTTCACACCATCCCGGAGGGTGCAAGGGAGAAGGGTGGTGTGCTACGATGACCGATTTATAGTGAAGTTGGCCTTCGAGTCAGATGGCATCATTGTCTCTAACGATAACTACAGGGATCTAGCTAATGAAAAGCCAGAATGGAAGAAGTTCATAGATGAACGCTTGTTGATGTATTCTTTTGTTAATGACAAGTAAGTCATTCTGTCTTTACGTGTGCCACTAAAATAATTGAGGAAAGGACAGTTTGAAGATTTGTACGATTTTTTTATTTTACACAGAAATCATTAGGTATGTGTAGGAAAGCAAGAGGAGTAGTCAGTAAATAAATTTGGTCTTCTGATTGAAAGTACTTGGAATTGGTTTTGTAGCAATATTTTTATGTCTTTTTACATTCTTTTTTCCTCTTACGTGCTTTCCTCATACATGTATGCCAGTGTATGTTTGATATATGCTATGTTCCAGCTCTGTTGATGTACTGAGCCAACAGTTCCGAGTGCCTGTGGTTAGACTCCTAAGTCCTAGAGTCATAGAAAAATCCAAGTTGGAATGAACCTCAGGGGGTCTGTAGTTCAACTGTTTGATTAGTTCCATTTATAGTGATTGTACCCCAGCCTACAGATCAACTGCAGTTACTGCTGGTGGCTTCTTCTAATGGGAGGGACTCGGTGCTCCCCCGAGCAGGCTCTTGTGTTGAGGTACCTGAATGCTGATGCAAGAATCCTAGGCTGTCAGCACAGTTTTGCAAAGCTAGTAGTGGTGTTTTAAGAAATGGCTGCCTGTATTGCAGCCCTTACGTTTGGTTTTGGGATGGGTTATTTGCAGCCCTGCTTTGCCACAAAGCATCAGCTGAGCTGGACCAAAGGTGTCTGTAGCAGTCTAGAGGTGTCCACGCAGTCTCTTCCTGTGGCCTACCTCTCAGGCAGTACCTGCAGCAGAAGGACGGCCTTCCAAAACTATGTACTTCCAGAACTACTAAAGTATGAAAAGGCTTGTTTGCTTCCATAACACTTTGTTCTTTCTTTATAGATTTATGCCTCCTGATGATCCTCTTGGCCGCCATGGTCCAAGTCTGGACAATTTTCTTAGGAAGAAACCTATTGTGCCAGAACATAAGAAGCAACCATGTCCATATGGTAATCTGATTTAACCCATCAAATTTTATATAATGGGACTGGGTACCAAGCTCCTGCTTTATTTTAACACTGCCAAAACTGTTTAAAACTCTTTAACATTGGTTTTAATGTTGTTGTCTTAGCCTGAGACAGGTTGAACTGCTGAGCTGATGGTGGAAACTGAAGCGATTTTTTCATGTGCTACTTAAAAAACATTTCTATTTAATTTCTATTTAATTCCTTTAATTGAACTAAAGGACCAACTTAGTTAATCATTCATTGGAATAAATACAAATCAGCACCCAAATTCTGCAGATTCCAGAAGCCCTTCTCTAATGTCATGAGATATTGAGGTTTTCTTCCTGAAAATTAATTGAGCTATCTGAAGTTTAGCTACTGAGCATTCCTACAGGCATCTTGACTGAGCTGAAACCTGCTGGCCTTTTGGCTGCGGGACCTCCCTATTGAGTTTTCAGCCTTTATATTGCCTTGGCCCAACAGAGCAGGTGTGTACAGCCTCCCTGGCACTGCCACATCCAGCTCAAAATGTGGCTGGTAGTGTTGGTCTGCATTCCCAGAGCACCAGCTGCAGGACACTACCACTGCCTCTTTTTTCCCCACAAAACAGTAGAGAAGCTCTTAGAGCACACCCTGTGTTGCACAAAACCAATCTTGTTTGCAAGATCTTTCAAATCAACAGTAAAATTTCAAATGAGGTGTATTTCTGTTATTTGATGGCTAACAGATTTTGTCTGAAGTTTTTTAAATCTGATTATGTTTGTATTAATAGGGAAGAAATGTACCTATGGACACAAATGCAAATATTATCATCCAGAAAGAGGAAATCAGCCTCAGCGATCCGTAGCTGATGAACTTCGTGCCATGTCTAGAAGCACAGCTGCCAAAACTACAAGTGAAGGAGGACTGGTAAAAAGCAATAGTGTTCCGTGTAGCACTAAAAGTGAAGGCACTTCAGAGCTGAAGCGTGCTGCTCCAAAGAGGCAATCGGATCCTAGTATAAGGACTCAAGTCTATCAAGACTTGGAGGAAAAGCTTCCCACCAAAAACAAATTGGAAACCAGGTCTGTACCTTCTTTAGTTAGTATACCAAGTTCCTCTGCTGGAAAACCCCAAAGTACTGCACCTTTAACTAACGGCCTTCCATCCGGAGTTCACTTCCCACCTCAGGATCAAAGACCACAGGGACAGTATCCTACAGTGATGATGGCAACCAAAAATCATGGAACACCAATGCCTTATGACCAGTATCCAAAATGTGAGTCTCCGGTGGATGTAGGGTATTACTCTATGCTGAGCGCGTATTCAAATCTCAGTATATCTGGACCGCGTAGTCCTGAAAGGCGCTTCTCCTTGGACACAGATTATCGGATTAGCTCTGTAGCTTCCGACTGCAGCAGCGAGGGGAGCGTCAGCTGTGGCAGTAGCGATTCCTACGTGGGTTACAGCGACCGCTCTTACATGAGTTCGCCTGACCCACAGCTGGAGGAGAACTTGAAGTGCCAACACATGCACCCCCACAGCCGCCTTAACGCTCAGCCCTTCCTACAGAGCTACCACGAGCCCCTCACTCGAGTGCAGAGCTATAGTCACGAAGAACCAAAGCATCACCACAAATCTCCCATTCCGTATATGGCTGTGCATCTGCAGCATCCAGCCGTCGGTGCTCGATCCAGTTGTCCCAACGACTACTCCGCACCTCAGGGCTCGTCTCATTCAAAGACGCTGCATCTGGGGAGAGCCCTGGTGTCCACGAGAATAGACAGCATTTCAGACTCACGTTTGTACGAAAACTCTCCGTTAAGACACAGAAAGCCTTACTCTGGCCAGGAGGGGCTGGGATGTTGGGATAGGCAGAGTTACGGGATGGATGCCTACGGCTACCGCCAGACGTACTCCTTGCCCAGCAACCCCACGCAGCCGTGCTACGAGCAGTTCGCCTTCCAAAGCCTTCCCGAGCAGCAGGACCAGCCCTGGCGCGTACCTTACTGTGGAATCCCGCAAGACCACCCCCCAAGGCTCCAAGACACCCGGGAGAAGGTTTACATTAACCTCTGCAACATCTTCCCCCCCAATCTCGTGAGGATGGTGATGAAGAAGAACCCTCATGTGACGGACGCTCAGCAGCTCGCTGCGGCCATCTTAGTGGAGAAATCTCAGCTAGGTTATTGAGAGATGACGCATCTTTGTGGTGTCTCGTAGTTTTCAGCTCAGCTAACGCTGAGGGAGGTTTGCTACAATAGCATTTGGGATCTCCTTCTCAGCAAGGAGGTTATATAGTAATCCGTTTATGTGAAATACTGTATCATGGAGTCTGTATGTATAGCCCCATGCATTGGAAGTACCAGATAAGTTTTGTGTTCTAGTTTGAAATTTTTTAAATGGCTATTTTCACATCTGGAGGATATTTCTGTTTAAATTAATATATATATATATATATATATATATATATATATATAAAAAAAAATCTGTGGTCTCTGGTTATAATCTTTAGTGCATCAGGGGTTTATATGCAGCACTTTCTTATCATTGTTACATTTTGTTGGAATTTTTTGGTTTTGTTTTTTAACTTGCTTATCCTTGGGCTGTGAGATATTAACCTGCAGAAAGAGGATTTTGCTACTTCTGGCAGGCAATCTTCAAGCCAATTTTCAAGCCAAGTTTCTGAACTTTTTACACCACCACGAGTATGTCTGATGTATGTATGTTTGTTTGTTTGTTTGTTTTTGTGAGCTTTTTTGTGCTGTAATCACCTGTTTGTAGAAAACAAAGATTTACTGCAGCACTGACTTAACTTTTTGAAACAAGTAACTAAGTTACCAGTTAACAGTGAAATGGGTAACAATATATTGGTAATTTATAGTATGGCACTTTGTTTTGCTTTCTTTGTTTTGCTTAAATAGTTACAGGCTTTTGTTGATGCAATCAATTAGTAAGATCAGATGCAAGCAGAGGAGAAGAACTTTTTAAATTTTTTTTACTAATTTATGGGTATGTTTAAAGCCTTATTGCCTGATTTTCAAAGGTACTGAGAATTTGCAGCCCCCTGGGAAGCTAAGAGAAACTGCAAATGCTCAGAACCACCCCAAACCAGGCCATCCTGTTTCAGTTCCTGTGTGTTGTTACCCAGCTCTGTGTATTTCTGGTCAGTAGATGGGGACCTGAAATCGTAGGGCCCTGTTTAGTTGTTTTATGTTTTTCCTTTGTAGTGCTGCACAACTGTACTGGATAAAATATGCTTTTCATAAAATATTTACCTGTTTTTAAATGAATTTAATTATCTCAATGCAAGTTTTGTATTTAAGATACTGTTTGATTTCTCTTGCTATTTATCAAGGCTGGCCTGAAAAGGTTTTGTGTGTTCAGGATATGCAACATTTTTAACTGCACTATGGTAATGATATTGTAGCTCAAAATAATAACTTAAACTTTTTTTTTTTTCCTTTTTTTGGCTGGGGAGGGGAGGGTTGTGGGGAGAGAAGATACCATATGTGTTCCTGGAGTTAGTTTTTCGCTTTTTGCATTGTGTAGGCCTGATTCTTGCCACAAATAGGGTAGTTTTAGACACAGACAAGGCAAGTCTGTTTTAGCATTAGTAAGGGATATTTCTGGTTTAAAGTCATGGGTTTTACTAGCACCTCTTAAGCTTTTTATATATATATGTATGAAAAATAGAAATAGTTTTTGCAAATGATGTCAGATGTACTTCCATGACATGATCAGCTGCCCACAGTTTTAGGTTTCCATCCATTGTAACGATGTTCAGTGTTAAAAAAATGTCACTCGTTTACACTATTACAGCTGATAATTTTGGTACACTCGCTGGAATTTTAAGTAAGGCCCTGAAGAACCAGAAAGTACCTTTTACTGTTGATACAAATTGTATCTTTTTAACTGAGAACTATTTTGATTTGTAGATTAGAAACACAAATGTATAATTATAACTAGTCTTTTGGGCAACATTTTATCCCTTATTTAAAAATTAGAGATTTCAGACATAGAATAGGTTTAGAAAAGTAAAAGTAGGTATTTATTTAGGTGTCTGTCTCAATTTCACGTACTAAAAGGAAAAAAATAAACTATTGGCATCTTCCTTCTAAAATCTTTGTAGTGGGAACTCACTAAAATAAAGGTAAAATGCTGCCTGAAAATGATGTCCAAGCACCTTTGAATACGAAGACGTTTTCACTACTTGTGCGACACCATGTGTTGCAGCAAGTAGGGTTTGGGTATACAGTAAATGCTTCTAAAGAGCATTGTGCTATAGACATATCCAATAATCTGAACCATGTTCAGCAAACCAATTCAGGACATGGTGCTCCTGCAGCTTCCACTGCTGGAGCGCTGCAGGTTCTGCCATTGCCTGCCCCCGTGGCAAGGCCATGGGGGCTCCACACCATCTGTCCTGCACTGTCTGTTTAGGGAGAAGACCTCTTCACATGTGGCAACAGTTTTCCCTGGATTTGGTTGGTCGCCATCCGTAGAGCATGTTTTAATGTAGAGACTGATGCAGTGCTGACGCTGAGGTTTGGACTGGGAAATGGGTCTCATCTTAGTTGTACACTAAGATTTGGTTAAATTGAATTACACTGAAGTACTACACCATAGTGTAGATGCAGCTGTTTTAATAATGCAATGATTGTGTTTGTGTTTTTAATGGGTTTCTACTTTTTTTTTTTTTTTTTTTTTTATGTAGGTATATACTTCTGCCAAAAGTTAAATTCCTTTAAGCATGAACTGAAACATGCATATGTAATAGAAGTGTTTTGTGTTTTTTTCTGTGATGTGGGCACCAGGATGCTCCTGCCATGCACATGTCACAGCCTGGCCTAGAGCAGGGGCTCAGCAGGCTTAGCCATTGGGATAGCAGTGCGAGGAGCTGCACTGCCCAGGCCTGAGTTACCAGTGTACATTGCCTCTGCACACAGCCAGGGCAGTACTGAATCCCCACAGGGCGGTGATCGCTGGGGAATTCATGTGATAGGTTCTGTGCTTTGCACCCAGGTGCTGAAAATGCTTTAAAAATACAAGAGCAGGAGTAATTTGGTGGATTTTAATGTTGTGCAATGATGTGCTAGTTCCCCTTAGACTCGCTTATGTTGGGTAAAGGACATTTACTGTGGACAAAATGTTTGCCTTGATACTTCCTTTTGTTTTGCTGTGGTAACAGATGGAGGAATTGTGTGTGAACATCTCCATGATGAGATCATTCTGTATGTTTAACAACTTCTAAAGAGCTCACTAGTAACAAACATGGACACAATGATGCTGGTCGAATACTGCCTTTGTCTATGTAATTGCATTGATGCAAATAACTGAACTGTAACCTCCCGTGATCCTTAAATATCAGAGGTAATTCAGTGACACTGACTTGGCCCCAGCTGAGTGCCAGAGATGCAGTGAAGGATTTAGTACCTTCAAGGCAGAGCTGTCCCTCAGCTAAGAAGGCCCTTTGTCTTCAGTACTTGAGAGATGTTTTGATACTTAGAAGAAGCTCTGTATTTTTAGATAAAATCCCAGGCTGTTATAACTGCATCAGTAATAGTATATACATATACAGTATTTTTAATGCACATACATTAGGCATTTGCCCACAACTGTTTTCAATGCAGCAACAAGTTGCAAATATTTAGAGTTTTTACGTATGTCCTGTAGATAACTAACTTGGAGCTAAATATGCCCAGGCTATGACAGTATTAATCACTTTGGTTTTTTTAATTTTTTCAAATATGTGTTTTCTATATATATATTTGTATATATACACACATATGTTTGGCAGGTGGGTTTAAGATACTGCTAATGGTCTGAAGTAGGATCATACCTTTCCAGGTGTCCTATTTTCTTTGGTATGTCTGAATTGTAGCTTGGTCCTCCACTGCAGAATAGCTCTGGGGAGAGCCAAAAGCCTGATGTGTTCATGTGACGCCCCAAAAAGAGGTGTGTCGGGCTGGGGAAGCCTTCGAAGGAAACTTCTGCAAGCCTCGGTGGGTGTGGACTGTTGCTGAGATGTTGATGAACTTATGCTGTGAAAGTTGTAGCTAATGGTGAACACCTTTCCAAAAATATCAAAGCTGTCAGTGTAAACCGGAGTACCTCACTTGGAAGGGGACACTGGGGGCGTTTGCCCCAGCAGGGTGAGCGCCGGAGGACTGGACACCTTGGGTGAGAGATACTGCAGCATCTTGCCACAGTAAGAGACTACCAAAATATTTACCAGATTTATCAGTTGATGGTTTGACCAAGGTATTTTCAATGTGTAAAGCTTGAAAAAGGAGACACAATGCTTTCCTGCTCTCTGGAGCGTTTAGAAAAATACCCAACTGACTTTTCATTGCTACTGAAAATTTAAAATACTGTGCAATTTAAAAGACCATTAAAAAAAAAAAAAACCTAAAAAAACCCGTAGAACTTATTTATTTACAGTGTGACTTGCTAATTTATTCGTTGCATTATAAGGCCATGGTGGAATGCCATTTGTTGAAGTTTTTTTATCATAGGAATTAAAACTGCTGAGAAGAAAAACCAATAGATTTAAACTTAAAACTCTATGGCCTTGTTTTGTTTTCTGTAAAAGGGCTGAGGTTTTATAAATGTCAAATTTCATGTTTTATAGACTTTGTAAATTTTAGAGAGGCACAGTTCAAGAACTTTGTTCAAATGAAATACATGTGGGCACATTGTTTAGCCTAATCATGTAACTAAACCTAGAATCACCTGTGTTAAATGGTTTTTCCAGCTAACCTTTTGCTCGGTAACATGAGAGATGTTCAGATTTCATCTTTAGATGTTCTAGAATACATTTCTCAAGGTTTCATCAGAAGCTGCTGACCCAGTCACATAGGAAATGCACATTTGCATGGGAAGCATCCTGCAGAATGCTGCGTTTTCCTTGCCATGCAGTACAGGGAGATGTGCCGGTGCACATCAAGTCTCTCACAGATGTTTTTAAAGGCACTAATAACTACCATGTGTGGTTCATAGTTACCACTGTGCTTGAAATAATTTTCCACCATCCATTTCCAGGTCTTAAAGGGTTGTCATAACTTTTGCTTGGAGTGTTTATTTCTCTGTCTACGCTTTAAGCCAAATGATTGCAATAGCTCTCGTTCCCAGTCACACTCAATAGTGCTGGGAGGGCTCAGTCTCCCAAACACCAACACGTACGCCTGACTTCAGCAGGAGCAGAGGTGTGGGCTGGCTTGTGGTGTGAGAGAAGACCCGAGTCAGACGGGCGTGTGTGTAAGTGCAGCTGGGCTGGGACCTTGAGGAGCACAGCTGGAGAGCCACCTCCTCCCAAGCACAGAGATCTCACTGGTGCTGAGAGGTCATTTGGCCAGAATTGCCCTTTGCAGGCATTGGGAACACCTACAAACCAAATTCACTTAGATGTTTAA